TCTATTCTATTCTATTCTATTCTATTCTATTCTATTCTATTCTATTCCATTCCATTCCATTCCATTCCATTCCTCTCATCTCCTCCATTCTATTTTGCATTCTATTCTCTCTTCTCTCTTCTCTTCTCCTCTCCTCCCCTTCCTTCTCCCTTCTCCTCTCCTTGCAGCGTCAGCCATAAAAACCAGTGCAATCCTAAGTTGCATTAACGGAGGGATACAATCGAGATCAAGGGAGGTACTAATACCACTCTATAAAGCCTTAGTAAGGCCGCACCTGGAATACTGCATCCTTTTTGGTCACCACACTATTAAAAAAAATGTCGAGACTCTAGAAAAAGTGCAGAGAAGAGCAACCAAGATGATTAGGGGACTGGAGACTAAAACATATGAAGAACGGTTACAGGAACTGGGCCTGGCTAGTCTAGGGAAGAGAAGGACCAGGGGAGACAGGAGAGCAGTGTTCCAATAACACATTGGTGCAGGAGGCCTTCCAGGCCCCAAATGGGGCACTGGGGTGCACGCACACACACACAAACCCCCAAAATGGAATGCGAGTGCCCCCCCTGCACATGCACCCCACCCCTGTATGCATGTGCGCACACATCCCTCGCGTGCGCCCCACCAAAAACCAGCCGGCAGCACCCACAATTTCTGAAGACAAGCTGTTCCACTGGTTAATTGTCCTCGCTATTAGGATCTATCTACGTTACTTTCTTTGGCACTAAATAAGATGGTTTTCCATGGATGATGTTTCTTCAGCTTTCTGCTCTCACTTGACCTGGCAGTTTTCTCTCCTTGTCCCCACCACTTCAGTGCTCTGAGATCAGCCAGCCTCAGCTAAGTGCTTTTCCCTCGTATCACATTTTAAAAATCACTATCCATTCTTCACTTTAACGTTAAGTAGGATCTGAAAATGCAGACAACGGATAGAAATGGGTTCTTCCCACGCTGACATCTGAAAGGACCTCTTTTCTTTTACGAATGGACATCTCTCTAGGCTTTTAGGGATGGTTGTTAATGTAGCATTGGGGCTTTTACTGGAAGAGCGACAGGATGGGGTATGGCTGGACGTCAAAATGTTCCTAAAAGCGCTCTAAGCATTTATCTGGAATTGAGCTTGACTCTATGGCTTCCATCAAGGTTGATCTTTCTTTCTTTGCTTTTCCCCTCCCAGCCACACAATTCAACAAGAGACCAACAAAACCATCACAACGTGCACAAGTGCCATCCGACAGCTGTCCGAGGGTATCAGAAGCTCTTCCAGGGTGAGTGTTGAAACTCTCAAGTGACTTCAAGGGAATTCAGTGTTATCCTCTACTCTAACCTATTCTACCACTGTGAAGCAGTATATAAGTCTAGGCGCTAGTGCTAAGAAGGAAGGAGAGAAGGCAGGAAGAAATGGAGGGAGGGAGGAAGGAAGGGGAAGATTCAGGGAGAGGACCAAAAGGAAAGAAGGAA